AATTTTAAACTTAATAAATTTTTTTGTTCCAATTGCAGAAAGATTTTAATTAACATTTAAGTGAGAAAAATGAATGTAAAAATAGTGAATAAGTACAAAGAAATTCTATTCTAATAATCTATAACAATTTCCAGTAAAACAATAATGTTAAATATAAAAAAGATCAAACATATTTCTTACACATCAACTGCAATACTATAAGTAACAACAACAAAGTATATGAATGAATAATACAGTTTAAGAAAATAAAAATGACCTAAATATATTAGCTTTTGCCAGAATTAAGATTTGCCACTATCTGTTAAACTATCAATTGTCTTTAATACTATCCCACTTTTAAATTTGTTAAGATTTTCAAGTAAGGAAAGTATTAAGATCTTAATAATGTTTCTTACAATATGTATAAGGCATTTAAAATTATTAAATACTAAGAAAGAAATTTTTTTACATGAATTTCAGGTTAACTAAAAATGTATTTATAAACTTATGCTAGGCATTTGCTTTCAAAACTATCTATATCTATTATGGGAAATTGGAAGCAAGTTTTACTTGTTCATAAGTATGAAAAATATATTTATGAAGGCTTACCTATGTAGGGGTTTTCAACAAGTATACCAGAAAAATATTACACACTTTATTTTTCAAAATAAATTAAATTGAGCTCTCATGTTTACAAAGCATTTGATGAAAAAATGTGTAAAATAATTTAATAACTTTTTTTTAAAAACAAATACAAGTATAATCCTTATTATTATTTGAATAAGGTTAAAACTAATTTGGAAAAATTGTAATTACTGAAGCTAATTGGCTAATGTACCTTTAAAATACAAATATACATCTCAAACTGTACAAATACAACTAAACATTTATTTGCAAACTGAAATGTTTACATAATGCAGTGTATTTGTTTATTTTTTAAGAGTGACAAGTGAACAAAGTATTTTTAAAAACAGTACGTTTTAGATTATTCTTTTAGTAGAAATGAAAGAAATTAATTTTTACTAAATTTTAAGAAAATTCTCTACCTAAAACTGTCAAGAAAATTACGATAAGCAACCAACTTTGAACACTCATTTAAAAATTATATTATTTCAGGGAATATCTTGTATATTACCAATCAAATGATTTTTCCTTATAAATCAAAAGAAAGACTACAAAATGAAAACACTTAAAACAGTGTCTTATAATAACAAAGAAATATAACATACATCTGTGTAATAAGTTATACATTCTGTCAAGAAAGATAGTATTTTTCGTCAACAAAGATACAAAGAAATGTTATTAAATTAAAAACCCTAACTACAAAAAAAAGTTTTGATACTGTATAGAAATATTTAAACAAAAATAAAATTACTGATATAAATAGCAATTTTAAAATAATTTGAGACTTCCAAACTAATTAAGAATGACAAATAAAATGATGAGATATTAACACTTACTGTACAATATTTTACAAATAACAATCAACTAATGAGCTGAAAATAATAAATACAAAAACATCAAAATATATAATAAAAAAAATGAACAAGTACTATATTTGTACAGACCAAAGTAACTTATCCTTTCAATTTAAAACTAAATATAATGAAATGTGTGATAGCTGCTAATAGCAACAGCATACCCAACATATTAAAATCTATGAACAAAATAAAAACAACCATAAATCATCGGAAATAAACCATTGAAATTTGGATGAAATTTAAACCCATGAGTTTTCACATTTATGAATGAAGTTAAGAAGTTGAATATTCAATGTTGCTGGGGTAAGATAGAACACAGAAAGCCTTTTAAATAGTCATGTGTTTAGTCACTCATTATTAATATGAATAATATTTTGTGCAGAATTAGCTTATAAATCTTGACATGATCATAAACATAATTTACAAACAAAGAAGGTACTCCAAAGTAATATATAAACATAATCAAGCATGAACAATTATATGAATTTTTTTTCCATACTTCCTTTTAGTCATTAAAATTAGCATTTAAAATATGCCACCAATTTAGTTTGGAGTTATATAAAATGGAAATTGTCGGTTCAAAATTTAATATGCAAAATCATATTAAATATAGATGCTGAAAAATAATTTATCATTAAGTTGGTAAGAATTTAGTGACACATTTAAAGTATTTTAAAATAAAACTGATATATTTGAGAATTTTTTTTTTATAATCGGAGCAAAATAGATTAATTTTTTAAACAACATAAATACATCATTGTTTCATTGATGAGTTGTACTTGAGGTACCTTACTTGTAAGTCAGACAATGGCTATTAGCCTTAAGTGCTCTATATAAGTTCAATAGTTTTTATGAAATTAAAATTTGGATGAGTCCCATTCTTAACATTTCATTTATCTTCTTTTGAGCAGATTTTGTTCAACATATTTGATTATTGCCTTATATATACGATTGCCTTAATTTAGTAAAAAAAATTGTGAACCATATATTGCTCATTGCTATATTAAACAGTTAAAAACGTATGACATAACATTTTATAAACATAACCTTGCTAGGTAAGTTTCATAATAGAGAACCAATATTTCTCAATTTGAGTTATTAGTTCAAAAAATATTTCGAAAAATAAATTCTACATTAAGTTATACAAATTTTCAACTGTTTCCTTGGCTGAATGATTAGGACAATATTTTCTAGATTGCAGCTTCCTATTTATTCTTATTTTTAGAAAATCTAATTCACCGGAAAAAAAAACTNGGGACACCATTACAGTTTAGGAAAATTAAATGCACAGTCAAATAAATAAGTATCTACAAAGAATAAACAAAAATAAAGTTACAATAACAAATTTTTTAATGTTTTATTCCAATTGGTGGTAAAATATTAAAAAACTTGCACTAATAAGCACAAATTAAATTATTAATATTAGAATAGACTAGCATTATATGAAATCACATAGAGATATTTGACACAAATATTTTATCACATATAAAATGCGGTTTTCAATGTAGTACAGAAGGGTATACACAAAATCACTAACTTTTTTGATCACCAAAATTAATAATAAACAAATTAAATGAATGTTTTATCTTCAAATGGGAGTAAATAAAAAACAAACAAGGTTTTTAAATTTAATCATGTTTTTCTAGTTAGGATGCCAACCAATAATATAATCACTTTTCCCTAGTCAACACAGAAAGTTTCAGTTGAAACTTTAATATCCAGAATGTTTTGGAAGTGGATAATTATTTCTTAGAGGTAAAAAATTAATTTTAGTCCAAATAAATGAAATAAGCACAAACATAATTTTATTACTAAAATTGGATTAAAATGAAATAAAAACATAATAATGCAAAAAACTAACAAAAAATTACTTGTGTTGTTTTAAAAGCAACTCCACAATTTTGATTATATGTTAATGGTAATTGAAAGAAAAAAAATTACCAGTAGAAATTGTCAATAAAGAATTTTCCATATTAAATTAAACTTTATTATTAACAAAAAACTCCTGGATGATAGTAAGTGAATAGTTTGATGATGAAATATTAGTTGCATAAATTCAGATCTATCTTTACAAGCAGCAATAATTAAAGAGAATCAGAAATTTTTTTGTGGTGTTTGAAGATAAAAGCAATAAACATAGATTAAGCTTAAAATATTTATTAGTTGGCAATCATTAAAGAAATATATTGTTACTCCATTGTTAAAAAAAAAGTTTAAATTAAAAATGTATTTATAAGTTACATAATATTCAAATATTTTAAGAATAAAAATATTTTTACTAATTGGCACCTTAAGCATTAAAGACTTTAGAAACAGAGATGGGTACTATCTGATGAAACTCCTTGCTTCGATAGGTTTTAACCACAGTGAATAATTTTATAGTATTAAATGCAAATAGATTTTTTACTTTAATTATTTAAATTTATGAATTTTATATATAATGCTAAGATCATTAGTATTCAGTACTTTTTGAATCTGTTTCTTGTTATATAGTAATCTGTATGTAGTAAGAATCATATAAATACAAAGCAATTGTTTGCAATATAATTTCAAAGAAAGGTAATTATTTCTTTCTTTCATTTTCCCATTTTATGCTTAACAAATTAAACTAAATAAATAAATGATAAAAAAGGGGAATTTGTATTTTCATTTTTTTTCTCAGCACGTTTCTACTTTAAATAAGACACTATAATTCTTAAACTTATTTAAAAGATATTTCTGAATAAAATTTAGATATGTTCACATTCTCAAATAAATCTCTCGATAATAACAAATAGCTTTTTACATAGTTAACATTTAAGAAGTTGATATAAGATAATTTTTTTTAAATACTGGAATATTAAAAAAAAAATATTTAAAAAAAAAAAAATTTCCTGTCTTACTTAACAAATGTAATACTAACAGAAAATAAAAATTGCTTTTGCGTATGTTAAATTTTTCAGTTTAAAAAATGCTCATAACTAGATGTTGAAATAGGGTCAATATATGACCAATAATTATAATGTTTAAAATTTTCCCAGTAGATAAAAATGACCCGTTTCAATACTCATTTAAAAACAATTTAAAATGCAAATGAGACACACAATTAATACAATAATTTGAAGAAAAAAAAAAACACGAATATAACTCTTTATAGAATGAAAAAAAAAAAAGAATTAAAATTCTTCCATGTAATGAATGAGGTTAATAAATAAAAACAAATGTATAAAATTATTAACATTAAAAAGTAACAATACAAAAATAAAAATCATATAAATGCAGAAAATATATAGACTAAAATGCACTTGTCAATTATTGATAAAAAGTTTGTTAACAAGAATAACATTGGGTTAAATGTAATGCACCTGGTTAATGAAAAACAATTTTACTGAATGTGAAGAACATATTTTGTTAAAAGCACCAATAAAACTATTGACCACAAATCTTAAAGTGCCTATGTTTTGAAGATAAAAGGCATTCATCCACTGTATTATGCAAAGCCATTTAAAGAAACTCAGTTTTTTTAAAGCTAAAAGTATGTGTAGTACTGCCTTTTTTCTTGAGTTTTTCTGCCTACATATCGATGATAAAGATCTCACTCTTCTGATACAGTTTCCTAAAAATGTCAGAAGTAAATTTTGATAAGTCTCTACAGTTAAATTATAACACATTTTCAGATGTATTATTTCAACAAACAGATATTTTTATGAAAGCAACACAATAGAGAAAAAAAAATTAAAAAACTCAAATTTTTTTTTGTTGTCAAATCGAAGTGTTTTGTTTAACTGTACGAAGAGATTTTTTTTTAACTGGAAGTTGACAAGGGGGTTAGAAACTACAGTCAAACTGTAATCTTACTGAGTCTGGGCTAGAAAAAATAAAAAATAAAAACTCTAATGAAAGCTTACATACAAATATGAATTATAAAATGTTTTAAAATGGCCTAGTTTTATTTATTAATCATTTACACTGATTGGAAATTATTTGAGATTCCCCTCCCTTTCTTATGATTAAATCTTGGTTTTGTTCACTAAATAACAAGCTTGGGAAATTTTAGAGTGATGGTAAATCTATGTTTTCTACAATAAATTTAAAAATAACTTGTCAAAATTGCAATAAAAATATTCCTTGTATCTTCAGTACATCCTATCTTTGACATTAAAAAGAAGCATAATAGAACAAAATAAAGATTTTTTTTTATATTCTGCACTCTTATTTATTTGTTTGCATAGAAGGACTGTGTTGAAAAGTATAGAAATTTATGGATTGCAAAAAACAGTCATAGTTATAGATTTTAAATATAGTTGTAACTAATAGAAAATTGACTCACAAGATAGACGTTGTTAACAGCTGTTATATAAGAAGCATTCTATGTATGACGTTGGAACAAAACCTTCTTCCATGTTCGATCTTCTAACTCTGGTCCAGCCATCTCCTTGATCTAGTTCAACAACTTCAAATTCCTCTTTCTCTTCCATGGGAATAGAACCTTCACTTTGTGCTGATTAAAATAAAAAAACAAAAATAATTTTAGTAAATTGAATAATTTGTTTCTTTAAATAACAGATGCACATTAAAAGTTAATTTACCATCAAAAGGGTACAATGCACGAGCAGTACCCAAAGCAGGTAAAGGTTCAGCTTCAAATTCAGTTACACCAGCATTATCATATTCTGATTCACCTGATTCATTGACAGCATTTCCATTGGCACCAGATGCAGTTCTAAAAAATTCACAAGATTCATGATTAATTTAAAGGGGATTAGATTAAGCAACAACTGGAATATGAAAAGAATTTAATAAAAAAATATTTATAAAAGCAAATAAGATAATACATTAAAGTTGATAGGCTAACTATAAAAATAGTTTAATGAAGCTTATACTAGTCAAAATATTTTAATTAAAAAAAACATTTAAATTCACATAAATTGACATATTTTAAGTTAACTTAGAACTTTCATTAATAGCAACTAGTTTACAATGCATTTTCATCTTTATAAACGTTTTGTCCATATGCTTGCAATAATTGTAACACTGCTTTACTTGCATAAATACATAGGTGAATGAAAGATGAAATTTAAATAATAAATTAATCTAAAATAAAGTATGCCCTATGATGAGCATCTATAAGATAAAACTTGTTGAAAAAAAGATAAGTTAATTCGAAAAAAAAAATTGGTGTCTAATAACATTTTAAATGGAACATTAGATTAAAAGTTGAATAATTCATATTATTCAGCTTTTTTCCTATTTTTTCACACCACTTTATTTTATAACAATAAAAATGTAACTTACTCTCTAGGAAGTGGAATGGCAGGGGCTACAGATTTAACTACTTTGTTAACACTAGAGTTAGATGTGCTTCTTGATAAATTTGTTTCAGATGCATTGTTTCCATTTTTCATGTGTGTTTCTGGAGTAACAGATTTACCTTCTGCATCAGCTAAAAAACCCTACAAAATAGAAAATATTATTGAGATAATTTATAGTATGTTTTTTTTTTTGTTACAGTATACACATACAAGAGTACTTTTAAAAAGGGCTAACAACAAACTAAAGAAGCTTAATTTGCTCAATTTCAGAAAAATAAAGACACATTTTATTTAATAAAATACACTTTTTGTAATTTCAGATTTACTTTGGTTAGAGCAGAAAATTAAAACAGTTTTGAGAATAATTTTATTAATAGAGTACTGAATAACTCATAATAGTTTGAAATCAATATATATAATTTTTGTTAGCATTGTTGTATTAAAAACATAACCACTATCAATCAGTTATTTCCTCATCCCAATATTTAATTAGAACTAATCCTTCAGGGTGGGCATACATATGCTGAACTATATACATAATTAGTGAGAAGTTGGAACTATCAAATTTTGTGATTTTTACTAGTATTATTAATTAAAATGAAAAAAATGTTGAAGAAAAAAAAAGTGCTAGATTAAAAAAAAAAAAAAAAATGATGTTCAATCATTTGAATTAATAGAAAATGGAATGCTCTGAATAAACACAAAATCAGGAATATTCAGAGAATTAAGGACATTATATTTTTATAAGGAAACTCAGCACAACTATGCTCCTGGAAAGCTTTCTTGTTGCGCATAGTTCTTCTGTTAATTAAAATAGAGAGAAGCTTCTTATTGCATAAAAAAATAAACAGGTTTAACCTTGGATAGACAGTTATGAGGTTAACAATAAAGCACATATATGTAATATTGAAAAGACATTTATTTCTTGATTTTACGGAAAAATATTTGTTCATTATTAAGTGAAAATTAGACAAATACATAAAAGTTGCAATTTCCATACATTAAACGATGAGAAAGAGACATTAATCTTCTTTTTAAATGAAGAAAGTTAATGACAAAGCTTTTTACAAGTAAAGTTTATAACTTAATTGATGATCAGACCTCTTTCATCTTAACCTCTTAATAACCAAAACAAAGTTTGTTTTTTTTAAAAACTGAAAGAACAACACTAGATATTTGAAATATTTTTATCAGTAATATTATCTCATGGATGCAGCTCTCACTGTTGGTCAAAATAATGACTAGATTTTACAATGGAATCATCAGCTTTAAATCCAACTTAAAAGCTTCTGTTTTATTAAAGGATAAGAATAAGAAGGAAAAAAACATTAATAATGATGACACAAGAAATGGTAAACATCTCACATATAAATAATAACAAATTCGGACCATGTACCTTTTGTTGCTAGGGTACAAACCAAATAAACAAAATTAAGTTATGATGCAAGCATTTTCTTCTAATAATAACATTTCTTAAATCTCAAAACAACTATAAAATATAAATATATATATTTTTAGAAAAGAAACACTACTAGTAGGAATTGCGTCTAGTAATCAAGTTCAAAAAAACAAACATAATCAAAAAATAAACTTATTAGGCAGTGCTGTACCTGTAAATATAATATTAATATTTCTTTGATTTCTCATTTTATATAAAAAAAAAGTATTCTCTAAGTGTAAGCTTGATATTAAGAAAAATAGGATGTTATGTGTGAAAATTGTTGCCCAGTTTAAGTCACCTTCTAGTTTTGCCCAGTTCTCACCAGCAACAACTTTCTTTAATACAGTTGAAAAATACTTCAGGAATGAGTTAAATAGAAAATGTCAACAACATGAAACATCAATATGCATTTTCAGATTGAATATTTATTAATGACCCATCACGATAGTTTAAGATTCAGTTTGTCAATAACAATTTATTTGTAATGCACAGCACCTTAAAATAAACATTTTCTAATTAAAATGGATATTAATTTAAAATTTTATAAAAACACTAATATGCAAATCATAAAAATGCAAAACAATAAGTGCAAAAAAATTATAGAGTTTCAATATTTAATAAATAAAGCTTAAAAAGCGGCAAATAAAGTAACCTGATATTTATGTAACTGTGCTTGCAACTTTTCAATCCTATTAATAATGTCTGGCATTTGTTGCTCAATGCTTACTGGATCTCCAAGGGCATTGTTTTGTTCGTATGCTGCTTTCATTTTAAGAAGACCATCTCTAGAATAGATACATATTATTAGGAAAAGTTAAATAGAAAACAAATAAATTTCACAAAAGTAATTCATAAAATTATTACTTAGTGGCAGTTTCTTGTGCTATTTGCGAAGATATAGATTCAATTTTTTGGTTCAGTTTTTTCTTCCTTTGATTTGGTGGTAAGTCACTGTAATCATCCTTTAATTCATCAGTTATAGTCTGGAAAAAGTTAAAATTTTACTGAGTTAAATTCTCTTTTAAGTTTGGGTTCTAATTGTTCAAAAATGTTAATATTTTTGTAATAAGTTGTCGATATATAAAAGCAGAGAAGCAGCTAGAAATAATTTTCAGGCGGTGATACAAAATCAAAATAAATAGTTGTTGGTTATCAAAGGCATCCAAGTAAAATACTAGAAAAAAAAATTTACTTTCCTATTTTTTGTAGAATAAGAAGGAAAAAAATTGACCTCTGTACTAAAAATGGGCATCTTAAAAAGTTTTCACTATAAATATATTGTCACTTAAATAAAAGTAAATTATAAATTTAAAATACATTTTTTAAAGTTTTAAAAACACAAATAAAGTTTTAAAAACACACTATTTGTGAACTCTTTACAGAGATAAAAAACCTTAACAGGTTTTATATGATTCGATTTTGGATGATATTGAAAATTTAAAACAAGTTATGGTTAATAAACTGATGTATAAATATAAATTGCTACTGTAAATATATATTGTTACTGTAAATAAATATATAAAACTTGTTACTTAAATAAATTATATTCAAAATGTAATCTATATAAATATTGATAATAAAAACAAACAAAATCTCTTCAAACAAAACAATGGAGCAAATAAACTTTTCACTTTATATTAAGATGTAGTAGGAAAAATTAAAATATAGTAACTTAAAACTCAAGTTAAATAAAACAAAACTAGGCAACAAAAACTGCATAAGAAAGCCATGCAAGGCAGTAAAGCATAATTACATGAAAAGTTAAGGAAGGATTTGATTGATTACTCATTTATAAGTTAAGATTAATAGTAAGTATAGGATTAAAAAAAAAGGTTAATACAGTTCATATTGTTACATAAATACTAACTTACTCAATTCACAAGAAGGGAAATGTCCCATCAGAGGATAAGAGTTGAATAAAGAAAAAGAAAGAGATAATTAAGTATTATGTAAATGCTACCACCACCTATTTTAGTAAACATTGAGAAAAATTTATGAAAGAAATTACAAATATTTAAGGTAAATTTTTTTTTTTTACTAAAGTAAAAAATAAAACCACTTGTATCAACAAAGAATTCATTAAAATTTAAACTAAAAAGGCTGAGTTGAGTTGTCAATGATTCTTAATGTTTACAATAGAATGAAATTAACGATACTTTTTTGAAAACTGAAAATATGCTATAAATTTATATGCCATAGTTCAAAATTTATAAATTATTCATATAATCATTAAAAAAATATAAAAAGGCATAAATTCATTAGAGAATCTTAAATAAATTTTAATATCTCAAATAGATATCTAAATTCCTTAAATAAATATAATAATAAACAATTTCTTAAATAAGTAAAATAAAAATGCTACATATAAGTTAAAATAGATAACATNAAAAAAAAAAAAAAAAAAAAAAAAAAAAAAAAAAAAAAAAAAAAAAACACTTACGTGCATAATACCATATAATTAATCAGATTTTTAAATAGATATAAATCTGAACTATGGTGCTAAAAAATTCATTCATATTATTTATCTGAAACACATAGTATGAATGGTTTACTTCATGAATGTAAAGCTTATAAATTATAAATACATTTCAAATGTTAACTTTCAACATTTAATTCCAAACACTTAAATTTACTTTTTTGCAAAATCAGGAGCAACAGCTTAACATAATTAAACATAAAGTACATTGAGACATTCATAGATGAAATTCCTTAAATTGCTGTAGACATAAAGTAGAAATGCTTACAAAAATTGTAATAAATTAATATAGGCATTTTATTCAACTTTTATAGTAATTACTTTCAAACAAAACAAATTAAGTCATATTACAACATAAATATCTAATATTAAAAAAAAAGAATTATTTTTTAGGAGATTTTACCTTTGGTGCACTAAATATGGAAAATAATCCACCTCTCTTCTTCATCTTTTGCAGTGAAATTGTACCTTTCAAAGTTTCACTTTTTCCTAATAAAACTGGTGGTGAGTCAGTAGCATCAGCAATTTTGGTATTGGGAATCAATTCCTCAAATGGAATATCACCAGGAGGTTGATAGCCTGACTTTAACTTGCCAATTACAATATTAGAATCCTTTAAAAGATAAACAAAATAATAAACAAATAAAATAACTATTCATCATTAACTTAGCACAGTTTCTTCTACAATTTTGCATGTTTTTTTAAATAACAAATAAGAGCGGATCGATTTTGTTACCATTATAAAAGAATAACAACAAATAATTATCTTGTTATATATATATATATATATATAAATCTCTTGTCACAGTTTTAGTGGTTAAACTCCTCCTAAACGGCTTGACCGATTTTGATGAAATTTTATATGTATATTCAGTAGGTCTGAGAATAGGTTTATAACTAATTTTTTTTCATTTTTTGGACAGATTTAACGTATATTTTAAATATATCTTTATTTAATCGTATTCGGATCCAAACTAGACATAGAAACATAACAATTAAAAAACAATATTCAAGCATGTTGCAACAAGTCATATTAAACTCTAATACTTATGCACGCCCTTAAAAGAAGAGCATCAAATATATTTGCATGTGAATAGAGGCAGTGATATAGCAGTATTTCGAGTTGAAAATACCAATGTGACTGCTCTTCCAGTGAATAACAACAACGACATAACGCTGTACCAAATAGGCCGGTACATCAATGAATTAAAAAAAAAAAAAAACATGGTCATTTAATGAAGCTGTTTGGCGTTTCTTTGGATTCCCAATTCATGAACGGGAACCAACCGTTAGTCATTTTAGCCGTCCATCTTGAAAACGGTCAGAGAGTATATTTCACGAACGAGACAGCCATTGACCGAGCTATAAATCCACCGAAAACTACACTCGCCAAATTTTTTGAATTGGGTAATCGTATGGACGCTTTTGGTGCCTTTGTACAGACATTACTCTACTCAGAAGTACCACCCAATTTCACACAGGTTCAAAAAAATGGATACCCCGAAAGCAAGGCACACCGGTTGATGCATGTCCCGGTTTGTTCAAATCAAACGCCTTGGGGAGAAGATTTACAGTCAATCCAATGCAGACTGACTACTTTTATTTTCGACTGTTGTTGGTTAATGTCACCAGCTCATTGTCATTTCAAGATATACGTAAAGTCGATGGACATTAGCGTCCGACGTATAAAGATGCATGCGTTGCACTCGGTTTGCTGGAAGACGACAACCAGTGGGAATGTATGCTTGCTGAAGCAGCATTGAACTGTACTGCAAAGCAATCTACTATTTGCTATAGTATTAACAACATGTTTCCCGGCCCGTATATAAACGTTATGGGATAATCACAAAGATTCGATGACTGATGATATACGGTATCAACATCACACACGTTGCAACGATCTAACGATAGCATTCAGCAATGCTATGTACAATGAAGCACTGATTGCTATTGGAGATCTTTGCATTACTGTTGCCAACTTGCCACTCAGTCATTGCGGTATGCCTTCACCAAATCGAAGAGCATCTGATTTATTAAACACTGATATGAATCGTGAACTTCAATACAATACGATAGAAATAGCAGCGATTGTTACTCGCAATGTTCCACTAATGAATGTGGAACAAAGGAACATTTATGACTGCATTATGCTTGCAGTTTCGGCAGGACAAGGTGGATTTTTTTTCCTGACGCACCAGGTGGAAGTGGCAAAACATTAATTATTTCGCTAATTCTCGGTGAAATACGATCAAATAATGGCATCGCGTTGGCTGTTACATCATCTCGCATTGCGGCAACTTTATTGAACGAATCAACGAATTGAATCTGTAGGTGCAACAGTTATTGCCAAGTAACTTGGTGACAGATAAATCCGTTGATGCAGTTTGCGATCCCATTGAAGCTGCAAATTTTCTAACAGAGTTTTTAAACTCATTGGATTTACCTGGCATATCACCGCATAATCTAGTACTCAAAGTTGGATCTCCAGTTATTTTGCTTCGTAATTTGAACCCACCACGGCTGTGCAACGGCACGCGATTTGCCGTTAAAAAATTTATGAACAACGTCATCGAAGTCATTATTTTAAATGACAAATTCCGGGATGAAAGTATATTACTTCCACGAATCCCTATGATACCCACAGATGTGCCAATTCAATTTAAACGCATTCACTTCCATATAAGACTGACATTTGCAATGACAAGGCCAAACAATGTCAGTTTGTGTCTTAGATTTGAGCACACCATGTTTTTCACACAGACAATTATACGTGGCATGCTCTCGAGAGGGCAAACCACCCAGTTTAATTGTGTTAGCTAAAGATGGAATGACAAAAAATATTGTATACTCCATTGCACTAAGAGATTAATATTGTTGACTAATATTTTCAGAATTCGTTGTATATATAATTTATAAAAAAAAGTTACAATAAATTAAAAAAATTATTATTTGGTGTGTTGTTATTTTCACATTCCGTCATCGTTCACAGCGCTCCAGGCCTCTTCCACTCATATACCACACATACGCACACACTTACAATAAATAAGATATATTTTCATACTCTAGAAATAATTCATATGGCAAAACAACATTTGCTGGGTCAGCTAGTATATAGATATATATATATAAAAAAACATAATTTACTAGAAACTAAGTAGCTTTGATAATTTTGTGTTTCTCGATAAATGACATTGAATCAACTTAGGCACCATGACACAATAATTGGCACAATTTTTTGATGGGTTTGTGAAGATAAATTATCACCCACAGAGGTAACTCATTTTATGTCATAAAATTAAGCAAAAAAATTAGTTGAAATGTGAAATGAAAGTAAAGATATTAAAATTTTTATACAGATATTATTTCTCATGTGATTGGAGTGTAAGAAAAACAGATCTACAATATTACATGAAAGTCAATGTTACAAAGAAAGTTGTCAGGATATTTTTAGCAGAAAAGCTAGCATAGACACTGCATAATATTGCGGGAATTAAGAGCACCTTGAATTTACCATAGCAGCTGAATATCATGATTCCTAAATAAAATGAATAATTCAACAACTAGGAAATATTTTAATCATTAAATATTTGAGAACTAAGTTCCAATTTAATATCTAACATTAAATAATTTACTTACATAGCACCTAGTATGATAAAAACTTACAGATTTGGGATCTATGGAATCAGCAGCCATGTCTGTTTCATCTAAACATTTACTGATGAAAGGTAAAACTTGTCTTTGTACATCTGTTGTATTTTTCATCAGTGTTTGAAAATACAATATTCTCTTCTCCTCCATGTCTTGAAGATCCTGTAATTATAGAGAAATTAAAATATCTCTAAAATTTACATTGTTTTTACTTACACAATACCAGTGACTTTTCTAATTATAATTAATATCACTGATACTTAATGATTACTTAAAACTGCAAATATTAAAAATACAATTAATTGTTAAATATTTAGTAATGAATAAATCAAACCAGTCACCTAAAATTTACTTCCAATTTAAATTTTTTTTTTAATAGAAAATATTAAGTTTACCATATCACAAACATCCAAATATCTCTACCATCAGTCAGTAACAAGTGCTGCATTAGAAAACTACGCAAATGTAAATTTACAATAAGTTTCTAATGGAATTTTAAAAAATTTAAACTAGGCGAATTTATGATAATTTTTCTAATAAAGATTCCTAAACATTGTGGTTCTAGATTTTACAAGATATTTGAAAGCTGCTAAAAGATATATTTTTAGAACTAGTATATATTTGTAAATATTTCGTCAAGAAAAATCAACATTATTCTAAAATGTGAAGCAATTTCGTAGAATGATCCTTTGATAACTAATAAAAATAAATGTATAAAAGAGGTAAGATATATAACAATGCAGGAACAATTTAAGCAAAGTATTTTTTCTCTTATGTACAATAAAAGGTGAACTCTTTGAACAATACAAAATAAGAACTTTCAAATATGAATGATTTAGAGCATTGATGGGCCAAAAAATATTCTGCATGTAAAAAGAATACTTTGTTCCAAAAATTTATGATTTAAAAGAGATCACACAGGAAGCAATTAAGAAAAAACAGCATATTGTTAATGTTAAAACCTCCTCATATCATTTCTTAGAGTAACTGAAAATATCACATCAAAAATTACTTAATTCGAAACTTTTTCATATAAATAACAAAATTTAGATATCAGCCAAATTCTAATAAATTTAATAAAAAAGGGTAAATAAAAAAATAAAAAAAACAGTGGCAAAAAGAGAAATACTATAAGTTTTTTCAAATGGAATACACTTACTTGAAATACTTTTGGCATTAATTCAAAATAATGTTGTTTTTGTGCTTCATTTGACTTTTGTAGTTGATTAGAATAGTCTTGTTTAGAATCTTCTGCACTTTGTTGTTTTGAAATGCTATTTAACCTTGCCTGTAAATTGAAACTGAATTAATATGTACACTAAAAATCAAATAATAATTAAATTAAACATATATTTTCAAAAGTTAACAATACTTTTTCCAATTCTATCCTTGATAGATGAAGATCTGCTAGAGCTTTTTGATAATTTTCATTGGCTTTTTCTGATTCTTTAAAAGATTTTTCATAACATTTTTTAGACTAAAAAAAAATAAAGAAATATAGATATAAGTATGGAAAACAAAGTTTGCTATCAACAAATAAACTATGTTTATGGTTGATTAGGTGCACAAACATAAAATTATAATTGCTTTCAAAAGTAGAATGCATTTAAAGAGAAAAGGTACTTATTTTATCTAACGTAATTTTTTTTTTTTAACAAGTTACTCAAAACTCATTGACTGCAAGAATAATAAATAATAACAAATTGATGAAATTTAATTTAAATGAACAATTCCTTTAAATATTTTCGTCTTCCTAAGATCTATGAATAAATAAATTCAAAATTTGTCATGGATATAAATTTATGCAAATTGGTTTATCAAATTTATACAACTAACTAAGGTTTATAAACTTTATGTGAAACATTTAACACTCTAAAATTTTCAGATGGAACCAAACCGTTAAGTTAAACTTATCAGGTTTTAAGATAGTTCAAAGTAATTTCTTTTATCAACATCTTGTTAGAAACATTTCAAAACATAAAATGTTTTGAGAATTTATATTTAGCTTTCGATTTCTTAAAATCGATAAAAAAAAGTTTAGGAAGAAATTTAACTCATGCATGTTCAGGCTTCTTCAAACATCATGTTTACAGGTAAGAACAATAAATGAATAACTCTTTTTCTAAAGTACAGTAGAATCCTTGTTACACAATACATTATGGGTTTATAATGTGAAAGTAAAAATTAAAAAAAAAAAAAAAAAAGCAATAGTACAAAAAAGACAGTTTAATTGTTGAAGTAAAATGTTTATGCAAATATTTTTCCACTGTGTCAATAATTTTTTTTTTTTTTTAAAATCTTTATCTATAAGCTCATTAATCAAATCACAGAAGTAAATAAATATGAAAATGTCTTCAAAAATTATTTAATAAATCTTTGTTTCAGGAAACATAATGAAAAATCTTAGAAGACTTATATATATTAAAAAAAAACTTAAATTAATGCATGAAATAGATACAAATGAATTTTGCTGATAAAGATATGAAAGCTTTTCGTCCTTTTAATAAACAAAATTATAATAATTAGGGCAATATTGTTGAATAAAAATTTTACATAAGTCATGTAACAGCAAATGCATTTAATAATTTTTAAAAAGACAGAATGATTTTCATGAAGAAAAATTTTCCATTCAAAGCTGTATAACTTTAATTTAAACTTTAACAACTTCATAACTTTAATTTAGGGGCTAAATATACAAATATAGGAACAGTGGTAATAGGTTTTTAGGGCCTCTTTTAACAGATAAGTACCAACATTTTTAATGAAACTTCATTAATTATAACAACTTAGTATGCATAAAACTAATTTTTTCAAACTAATAAAGTTTAAATTATAAAAAAGACGACAAAAGTGCATTTGTGAAACTTAAACTTATGTCTACACGGCTATTGCATGCAGGTAAGGTAAGTTAGATATTTACTAATACTACAACATCAGATCAAACAAATCTTTAAAATTGGAGGTTTGAACCTTAATAATTTAAATAACAGATTCAAATAATTTTAAAATGTTTAATAAGAGTTAATACTAATTTAATTACCTTTTCCAATTGATTTAAAGATGCTTGAATATTTGACTGTAATTTTGCACCTTCTTGTAAATGCTGAAAATGTAAAAAAATTAAGGTATTATAAGTCATTGTTAATGACATAATTTTTTTTTTGTTAAATGATAAAAGGGGATAAATTAACATAATGACAAAATATTATACTAATTTAAGGTTTCAGCAGCTAATATAAAAGTAAGCTTTGAATTTTTGCAGAAAAATAAGATGTATATTTTTTTATTTCAGAAATTACTACTTTTTAACTAATCTAATGATATAACAAAATATCTCTCAAACACACAGATAACATAACTTGATTCTAGAATTCTAATGAGTTTAAAAGAACTTGTTTTTATACTGTATTGAGCTTCTGTACTCTTCATATAAATTCGTTAAAGTTCGATAATTTTCTTTTAAAATGAGTATTAACTTGAGACCCACAGAAAAAATATTTTTTTCACCACTTGATTTTTAGCAAAAATTAAAAAAGCATTTTAGAAGACATTAAGAAATATTCATAAAGTTTGAATAAAAAACGGGGTTATATTGTTATATTTTATCGAATTTAAAAAAAAAAAAAAAAAAAAAANAAAAAAAAAAAAAAAAAAAAAAAAAAAAAAAAAAAAAAAAAAAAAAAAAAGCAAGCTTGTGGGGCAGGAATTTTTGTCAAAAACAAAACAACTGAAGTGTCAAAATTATTTTAGCTTTGCTCTAAAATCATAAATATGTCATTAGCGTTGAAAACCCTTTAAACAGTTAATTGAAAAACTTTCCACTAGATCCTCTGTAAAAAGTATTAAATTTGTCAGTTAAATAAATTAATAAATTTTTTTAAGCTTTAGTTTTTTAAAAAAAAACATTATTTTTTTTTAATTTGTTTTAATTTTCCTAATAACATTTAAGAAGCATTAAAATATTTAAAGTTCTTAGGGCCTCTCTGAAGTTCTTAATCTAGCCCTCAAACGGAAACTGCTGCATTGGAATAAAAAAATACCAAGATTAGTTCAGAAAAATTAATATTGACGTAATTTTTAGGATCAAGTGGAATATACAAATTTCTTTTTGGTAGAAAAAATTGTTCGCCAATACTTTTGCCAAAAGACAATTTGTTTAGCTGAATTCACGATTTTATTGCATTTGGAGAGATGGCGAATGCTTAGCGCAGGCTCTGTATAATAAAGTACTTAATTTTTAATTATTTATTTTCTTTATCTGTTAACTATATAAATTTCATACATACCTGTTTTCGTTCATCTTTAAGTTCTTTAGAAAATGAACTAATTTCTTTGACTATCCTTAAATTTAAATTCTCTGAAATAAGTTCATGCTGACCAGCCATGTCATTTATTTCATTCATCATAAGGACAAAGGCCCTACATGTAGAGAACCTGGAATAAAGTTGCACAAAAAATTTATTTTCTTACATGTAAAAAAAACTATAACGATTGATTATTAGTGAATTTGTGGAAATGTGAACTGCCATCCTACCTGCGTCAAAAGGTTAATAAGTTAGTGTGCAGATATTTATACCCTTTGTTACAGATTGAAGAAGTGCAAAACGTAAACTCATAATTTAGTTTTAAAAAGAAGTTGAACAGTTTTAAAATTTCTCATTAAATTAACTCTGTCACTCACACTTACATTAACAATGATAAATTTAAATTGATTTAAAAATTTAAAAGTTTATACCTATATCATATACAGCATGTTCTTAAGAAACTGAAGTAGATGTTCATTAAAAATCCCCCACAAGAAACACCTTTTCAAAAATTTGTGAAAAAATATAATAGTTTTTGGCTTTATTTATGATAAATACATAGCTGCTAAAAAAAGAAACTTTTTTTAGGTTTTTTATTATTTTAAGTTCTCTTATAATTAACATTTTAAACCAGGAAGGATTTATACATTTAATTTATCAATTTATTATTTTCTTTTTGCAACAGAGATGATCACTCTGAGGCAGAATCGACATGACGACATTGTCGTAGAACGTTACAGAGTTCTTGCAGAAAGATTTTTCTTTTGGGAAGAAAGTTTTGGTTTTCTTTTCTGCAAAAATTTACTCGAAAAATTTGGATTGCACATTTAAATAATCACTTTTTGTCGCGTTCAATTCACACCAATAGTATCGAAAATCCATGAAGTGTTTCGATTGTATTTTCGGCAGTCATTGATTTTCACGTGGTTTTAATTCCAGACGATATGGGAAATTCGAATCGTGCATTCGAGTATTTGCTTCTTTGGCAATTATTGCTTTTAATTTTCCATATAGTTTTGAAAATCCGATATTATTTATTATAACAATCATATCTTGAAACGAAACGCTCATTTGAGTAAACTCTTTTTGAAGAGTCCGATTCGCGTGATTTCATCGTCGATCTGTTTTTTGGTATTTACTACTACGGATTTCATGATTTTTAATAATTATTCTTCGTGATAATGATTTACAGAATGCAATCAAGGTACTAATTAGTATGCTTTTCTCCCCAGCAAAATTCGAGAATATCGCCCATAATATTAGAATAAAAAATTATTACATATTCAAAGAAAATAATTATAAGTTTTTTTTCTTCTTTTTTGTTAATACAGCGTTTCTTATTACTTTAAATTAGTAACACGCATATTTGTTATAATTGAAAGCATCTTGCAAAAAGATATTAGTGCTAGAGAGTTTTGTCGCAGAAAGCCCGACAAAATATTCTGCCGCAGGAGATGATCGATAAAAAACGAGGATAAGTTAGTGAAGAGATGAAATCCAGTAGGACTTTTTTAATTTATCGTTTTTTAGCCGGAGAATTTTTACTAATATTTATAGTAGTAAAAAAAAATTATGCTCTAACATTGTTTAAGATAATTTTGACAATCACAGGATCTAAAAAAATTAACGACGTGTGTAGAAAAAACCTAATAAAAAATATAGCTGTATTACTCACAATTTTTCCCTTAATGTATAGTAGATAGCTAGAACAGGACGGCAGTTTTTATTAAGGTTCAACTTCCGAGACAAAATTTATAAACAATTATTCTAAAAATAAGTTATTAACTCACTGTAGGTCGTCATCTGCTTTCTTTTTAATGTGATAATTTTTTGTAAGTTTCCTAAAAAGAAGAAAAAACACATTTATTAGTTATAAAAAATTATCTATTCTAGTTTTAAAAAAAATCATCATAGTTTATAATGAGTTTTATAAGAAATTACCTAAGTTTGTTTGCATATTCATTTTCAATGGCACATCTATCTTTAACGAACTGACTGTATTTTTCCAGGAACTCTATACCTTTCAATGAGTGAGACGCTAAATGATCATACTGGTCCTACAAATATGGAAATTATGCATCAAACGCATGAAATAGGAAAAATACTAAAAAGTGTTATACTCGTTTCGGAAAAAAATAAGAATCTTTAAAAATAATAATCATAGCTGCTAATATGGAACAGAGTTAAAAGAATTGATAAGGAGTTTTTTAGGAACTTTTATTATTTGGGCACATCATTCCACTGGACTTGTCAAGTAAAGTTGGCAGCCACGAAAAAGTATAGTGTAAGAGTGTTTTATATCATGACATAAAAACAAGGCTCACAGTAGGAAAAATAAAAAAAGTATTGGCAACATAAAATATGACATTTTTCAAAACAGTTTTATACCAGACCTACTTTTAAAAAGTGCAATGGACAAACTAAAAAAAAAAAAAAAAAAAGAANAAAAAAAAAAAAAAAAAAAGCATAATTTGTTGTACTTAAACATAATAAAGGCACATTTTATAGCAAACGAATGATAAATATACTATTCTTAGTACACAAAGTTTTAACAGTTTCATGTATAATTTTATCAATGGAGCACTCAACAGGTTTCATAGTGGTGCAACGAAAAAAAATCGTAACATCTTCAAAAAAATCTGGACATTTCTTGAAACATCATACACACACCAAATTACCTTAGTTATTAGTTTTTTTTTTAAAGCAAACTAAAGTAATTTTAGTAGACTGTCTCCCAAAATCATCATATAACATTCTATGATATCATTATAGTAATGTTGATTAGATTAGAATCTATCATTTTTAAAATCACATGAAAGAAATGAATTAATAATTGTGAAACTACTAAAGTCGACCCTACAAGATTTTTTATTGTCTTTGCTTTAAATAATAAACAAGGGCATGACACCAGCATTCATCACCATAAATATTTGATTTTTTGTCGAGTTTTTTTCTTCTTTTTCTTATAGATTGACTCAATTCCAAAATAGGTTAAAACAAAGAATTCTGTGGGTAAGGCTACATGTATATAATTAGTTAAAGGTCCCAAAATTGGAACTGTCGAATTTCGCGATTTCTACTAGTATTATTCAGTAAAATAAAGAGACGTTGGATCAAAAATTAATTTTTTTTTTATTCTTCAAATTTATATTCTTACAAAATGGGGGTGCTCACAGTTAAAAATCAGGAAAAAAAGCTAAAAATTGAGACAAATAAGGACAAAACATTTTTTATCAGGAAAATCAGGATACCCTGTGAACAACCCAGAATAGCCCTAAATCAATAAATATATCGAAAATAATTATAGTGTTTTGGTATTAAAATAACCAGCATCAATTAGTTAATATTTCTTCATACGAAAATTTACTTGAAATTTGCTATTGAGTTGAAGATTTCTATAATAAAATAATTTTAAAGTAAGGTTTAAATAATCTTAAAACAAAAACACATTTAATATACTGTTTAACATTTTTATACAAAAGTAATTTTGGGGATGATTCCTCCATTTCACTATTTAGAAATTCTATTACGTGATTATTATATTGCTCGCAATCAATCATTTTTAAAATCAGATGAAAGATACGAATCAAATAATTGTGAAACTACAAAACTAAACATTACACTACAAGATTTGTTACAGCATTTGCTTAAAATAATAATTAAACGTTTGGTTCCTGAATTAATTATCATAAAAATTTGATAAGGTAAATTTGTTAAATTATGTTCTTTTTTCCGTAATTGACTAGGAATTTTAAAAAAGTTTAAAATAAAAAGAATGAATCTCAATGATAAGATTTTAAGTCTGAATCATATGCATAATTAATGGACGGTTCCTAAGTCTGAACAATCAAATTTCGCAATTTTTACTAGAAATTAAAAAAAAAAAATGAACAATCGAATTTCACAATTTTTACTAGCAATAAAAAAAAAAAATTATGAATAGAAAATTTCAAATTTTCAATTATTCAAATTGTTTATTTTAAAATCAGAGTTTGAGTATGGAATGCTTAGAACACACACTAAAGTTAGGGATATCATTACAAAATATTGTTTAACAGGCATATCAGGATAACTACGAACTATGTAAAAACTATTAACAACTTAATTTAACCATAATATCTGAAAATAAATTTAGATATCGATTTCAAAAAAATTTTATCTAATGATTGGTTTAATTATTTAAGAATTTGAAACTGATACAAAGGAATTTCTATTAGTGGAGCAAAATGTTACATCACTAAGAGCAAGCATTAAGAAAACCAACATGACTAGCTCTCCGAAAAATAGTAACCATTCACTGTTGTGGATCAATAATTGGATGAGTCAGAGATCAGGATGTAGGTCGAGGGCAAGTGCATTGGTCAAGACAATGCTAATTAATGCAAAAATTTATCAATGATACTAAGAGGGGAAATAAAAGAATACGTAAATTGAGATAATAGAATTAAAAAAAAATTCTTTGCAGTTCAAGCAAAAAGAAAAAATATTACGTTTCAATTTATGACGCTTACAAAAATCTTTATTAAAATAAGTTCTACAAGTTACAGAAAAAAAAAGTGTGTAAAATGTTTGAATCGAAAGTGATAAATTTTTCATTATACTGCATTTTATAGTAAAGTTTAATATAATGTTAATACAATTAATTTTCAGTTATGAATTCAAGAGTATTAAAAAATTTACAACAAAAATAAACCATCATTATAAATTTGGCAATATTTTGTTTTGTTTTGAAGTAAAGCGAAAAAGGAGCGATAAAAATGGACGTATAGTATCAGCTGCATCAAGTAAAAACATTCATATAGGTTTAAGTTTTTATTATTCGAACATAAAATAATAAGTTTCCCAGTTTATGAAGGTTAAGCTACATTTATTGACCGAGGAAGAAAAACGCTTAACACACCAAAATGCAGTAAAGAATAAAAGTAAAATATATAAGAAAAAAGAATGTCAGAGAAAAAGAAGAATGATGTATATATTTAGAATTAAAGAAAAAATTTCTCAAAAACCACGGAGGGCAATGACGCAAAGATTTTTACAGCTGTCTATTTTGCTTCCTGCATCAAGGGCCATCTGGCACAGGGTCCTATTAAACCAAATTTCGACTGAGAGCAAACCTTACAATGGACTTCACTGCAATCTCCATACTAAAATTGTATACGTTTAACTCTTCAAAGTAAAATATTACTCAATATAAGCGAATTATTAATAAAAACAAATAAGATGGATACAAAAACAATTTTAAAATAAACAGCTCTTGTTAGACACATCTCGAGAACTTTTTAAGCGAATTAAAAAATTTTTGCACACAACTATAAAATTTGTTTACCCAAAGATGTTTTCATGCAAAATATAATTTTTAGCAAATATTGATATTTTTTATTATTTTATTTAATAATAGGCGATTTTGAATTGTAATTTTTTACATCATTTTGGAAGGATGTAATTTCACATGGGAAAATACAAAACTTGAGCGAAATCGATGGAACTGTTCTTGAGAATGAGTTGAATTTTAAAATTCGACTTCTCAGGAACCATTTAACCGATTTCGCTCATATTTTATATTTTGCATATTAAAACCTTACATTTTTTTTTTTTACAAAATAAATATGTGTACCAAAGTAACCAGTTTTCAAATATTTAGATTTGATTGGATCCTTACTCTTAATCTAAGATAATAGGGTCTTAACTTCTAAGAGGATGGGTTTTTAAAGATAGTAAATTAAAAAAAAAAAAAAAANAAAAAAAAAAAAAAAAAAAAAAAAAAAAAAAAAAAAAAAAAAAAAAAAAAAAAAAGATTTCGAGAAAGTAGAGAAAGAATTTAGTGGAAACTAAAGTAGTGAAAATGGTAAAATAGGTGGAGTTGTTGTTGTTAATTTACGTCGAAGTAGAGCTGCACAATGGGCTATTGGCTACGGTCTGAGAAACATCCCGGAGGATGATCCGAAGACATGCCATCACAATTTTGATCCTCTGCGGAGGTGATGGCACCCNGTCGAGCACTTTACGGTAGAACAGTTTAACGAGGACCAATACCGCACACCCTCGGTCCCTACGCAGACTGATCCAAGTGGTCACCCACCCGCACACTGACCGTGGCCAGTGATGCTTGACTTCGGTGATCTGCTGGGAACAGTGTCTTAACGATCAGTCCACTGCGGGACGTTAAATAGGTGGAGAGAATAAAATGAAGATAAGAAGTAAAGTTGGTAAAAATAATGTGCATATATTGAAAAAAAAAAAAGGAACGAAAAACAATAAAAAAAAGTCAGTATTATGGTCTACAAAGATATGGCAAAAAAGCATTTTCCTTAAGAATGTCTTTTATGTTATTTCCTTAAGAATTATAATTCATCTTTTATTTAGGTAATTGATTTCAATACCTTCACTTTAATATTGATTAGCTTAAAATTTACATAAAAAGTATATTAGTTATAAAATTTGTGAAGTCTAATCTTGTTCGTAGTCTTTTATTTTAACCACCATTCATGGGGACTGAGCTACAGTAACGTTAACAACAATTAGATATTTGATAAATATTCAGCAGAAAAAAAGAATTTAAAAAAATGGCTTTAAAACGACATGAAACATTTGTTACTGATTTTTTTAAAAACTGAATCATAGTAAAAATAATAATTTGTCTTATTATTTTGTAACAAACAATAAATTTTTATCAAAATTTGCAGTTTTTGGAAGTTTTATCAGAAAATCCGGATGTTCAAAAGGACATACGCTTGATTGCTTGAAGTATCAGGGATTATAAATAGTGACAGACATATAGTCTGGACGCCAAGTTTCTTCATGCTTCTTTTTGAAGGTTACAAAAAAATAAATAAATAAATAAATAAATAAAAAAAAAAAAAAAAAAAAAAAAAAAAAAAAAAAAAGAAGAAGAAGAAGAAGAAAGTGCTGCACTAAAACAAAATGTGATAATTTTTAAAAATAAGAATTTTAGTAAAATTTTTATCACTTCAGTAACTGTTTCAAGCTAAACTACATAATTATAACTTTAAATTATCTGTATGACATATTTTGGCAGTAAAACATTGATAGTATAGTA